TCTTTGTAATGAAAGTATTTTTTATTTATAAATATTTTCTAAATAATATTTTTTAATATTAACATATAAAAAAATATAAAAATTTAATTTTCTTACAAAACCGAACCGCCATCCTAACCTCTGATTATTGCATGTGCGTGGGGGTGCGTGCGAGCCCCGGGGAAATTGAAGCTGCCTGTGCTGTCAAGGAAAAGACGAATTTAAGTTCAGTTTGTAAGGGTACCCACACAAGCAGGGTATCTATGATTTTAAAGCCCCCGCTGATTGCTGGTCTTATCTTCAAGATATCCTTTCATTTGATTGAGACCTCTCGCAAAAATGTACACTTTCCAACTATATTGAAATCTTTATCTTCGTCTCACGCATAAATCCATAATCTCATTATATATATATATATATATAAACCAAAACATACATCTGTTTTCTCAAGTACAAATCAGATCTAAAATCAATCCTTCAAAGAAAATGTCGAAATTTGTAAATCTCAAAATTAATTTCAAAAATCAAATTTTAAAGGAGCAAATCTCACTTATACTAATTAGTATATTAATTTCCATTAATGGATAAATTAATCCATTATTCTCGCTGAGTTGGCAATTACCTAAAAGAAACTTTTTCATGAAACCCAGGTTATACTTAGTAATATTTATAGCATAGAAGAGAGACAAACACAAGGAATCTCGTCCTACGTTTTATAAAATTCTTTCTTTTATTGTTTTTTGTTTTTTCCATGTCTATTTTCTGAGTATGTAATATTTATAACTCTAGCATCATAAATTATTTTCCTAAATTATACAAGAACAATTATTTTATATCTTTTTGTTAAGAAAAAGAAAAAAAATGCCAAAAAAAAAATCGAAGAAAGAAAGGAAAAAAACTGCATTTATGTATTAATACGTCATATCTTAACTCCTCAATCATCACATTCTCGGGAACGCTGCCAGCAGAACTTCCAGAAGAAAGAAGAGTTCTTAAAAAAAAACCACTCTCTCACACAGAAAATGCAATTCTTCACAAGTTTTCCTCACTGAAAAGGTTTTTCTATCACTTTCCCTAGAAAATAGAAGGGAAAGAGAAAATTCAACCCTCATGAACCGAAACCACCACAACCCGTCCGAACTCCCAGACTCCCCCCCCACCAATACCGGTTCCGAAGGTGTTTCCGATCAAAATTTCCACTCGATCAGCGACCGTTTTCTTTTCAAACGAAACCCTAACCCTAGCACTAACAGTCCACATAAATCAAGTAAATCACCTCCGGATCGGTTGCGCCGATGGCATCACTACACAAACAAAAGCAACAACCGCAAGGGCGGGTGGTTCTCTTGTATTCCGTTTCGCGGCATTTATTTGTTCTACTTTGTGATATTTCTCGCTGTTTTCGCTTTCGTTTTGGCGTCTATTTTGCTGCAGAGTTCGATTACCGGCATGGTTGTGTTTAGTAAAGGGTGGATCGATCATCGGAGATCGATTAGAGAAGGTTTGATGTCAGGTACTACATTGAAATTCGTGCCCGGTTTAAGATCACGGTTGCTTTTGGAAGGTCATGGGCTCGATCATGTTAGAGTGCTGGCTAATAGAGTTGGCCTCCGCCCTCCCAGACTTGCCGTTGTAAGTCTCCGACTATCTAATTTCAGTTTTTCTTTTCAAATTTCTTTTGTGCTCTAAATGAGAAATGCTATAGGTTACAAGAAAACTGCGAGCCATTAGATGATATGATTCGTAATGCAAGATCCACTGGTGGGTCCCACTAATATAATGGCTAGTGATTTTCTTGCAATTTAATTTCTTTATTGAAATAGAATTGATCCTTGTGAAGATTGTTAAAGGGCTTGGCGTTAACTGGTCATAATGGGAATTGGGAAATTGTTTAATGAGCCTGGAGTGTATTCCTTTTGTTGGCATGCAATGCAAGTTGGACCCTGGATAACAAGTGATCATGGGCCTTGCTTATATGTGAGGGAGAGGGAGTGTGCGTCTGCAGTGCTGGATGCTTGTGGGAATTTGTGTTGCTATGGCTGCAATGAAGTTGAATTAATGACTATGAATTTTAGAATGGAGGTGTGGTTTTTGGTAGAGTTTGGGTTCTTTATTGTGGGTGGAGATTGCCCTTTAAAAACAATTTAAGGGATGGTTGTCTGAGATAGTTGGCTGCATCCAATGGCAATGCATGGGACACCATCAATGACGAATATGATTAAATTGAAGTATGGAGGAGGGGGAAGAAAGGTTAACCAGAAATGACATGTGAAGTGATAATTTAAAGAAAGCTTAGCTCGATGGGATTTAATGGAGGAAGTCAATTCGAGTACCCAGCCCAACTAGTATGGGACTGGTGTTTATTTGAGTTGAGTGCTTAGTATTTAGAAACCTTTTTTATGAAGCAATTACAAATTTATTATTAGAATTGCAGACAAAGGTGTGGAAGTAGTTTATATTTTTTAGGAATTTATAAAGCAAGAGGAACTTAGGTCATATGATTGGGTGCATGGTTTTTTCTTAGTTTTCTTCTTTTTCTTTTTATTAGACACGTGGACCAAGAAATACATTTTTCTGACACACACTTCTAGCAAGAGTTCTGGTTTTTTTCAAAGACTTCATCTACATGTCTTTCAGCACTGAACTTTTGTGAGCATGTTTTATTATAATGGTTCTTGTCTGATGATATCCAGATCTTAGGAAACATGAAGAAAGATCCACAGTCATTGATGTTGCTTAGTGTGATGAAGAATCTGCGGAAACTTGGTTATGCACTTAAGGTGAATTGTTCAGGCTGTTCTCGTATAATTTCTGTGATATTTCTATGTAGATCTTGATATTTTCTTGCTGCTAATAGCAAATGCTTTGTTACACTATGCGACTGCATATAAATGTCACATCACCTCTTTAACAGGCTGAAGATGTTTGGTTTGTTAAGGAAGCATCAATACAAATTTATTCATCTCCCCTTTCAAAATAAGCCTGGCATAAACATTGATGTAAAGGCTACATGTTTTACTTTGGCCTTCAACTATGTAGAACTGTCTATGCTCCTAACAATACCTATTTGACAGATATATGCTTTGGGGGATGGTGAAACAAGAACACTGTGGGAGGATATAGGAGACCAGATATCAGTTTTAAGATCAAAGGAATATGACCTTATTGATTGGTCCATGTATGTTTCTTTCTCTTATTTTTTGTGGTTTTACTGAACTTTGTTTTCTAGTTATGGTTTTTGTTTTGGAAAGCGATTAAGCCAAGAACTTTCTGTTTGTATTTATTTTTTCAGTAATTTACTTGGTATTGTTAATATACATGTACTCTTCTTTCTTTCTTTTTTTACAGTTTTGAAGGTGTTATTGTCGATTCTCTTGAAGCCAAAGAGGTAGTTTCGAGGTGCGTGTGTTTGCTTCCTTAATCCTTATATAAATCCCTAAATTTAGAATTTTGTTCTAATGCTTTGGTGTTCCTTCATTGCCTGGCTGGATTATGCTCAGTATGCATGCATGCAGAATTAAAAACGCACATCCACTTTGTGGGACATTTTGCAAACAATACATGCCTTTTGTATATTTAAATGTTTTTGCTTCACACGAACACAGTATACAGATATGGGAGCAAATGAATTTGAAGTGGCCAACAAGATTGTTTGCATTATTATCCCAATGAAATTCTAGAAACATGGGATCTTGCACTCATCTACAACTTGCAGCAATTTAGATTTGAGGTTTTAGTCTAGATTTTGCTTTGTTTTTGGGTCTTGGATGCTGCAGTATATGTCCTATGAGCAGATACAGAATTTTAGACATGAAGAGGGAGTTAAGGGTGCATCAGCAGTTCTCTTGATCATTTTTTAATTTATTCATAAGAATTACAATAGGAACTGTTTTGGGCAAACCTTTTATAGTAATTATGAGCAGAGGTGATTCTGCAGATAATAGAAGTGCTAGTTGTATGGAAGAAAACAAAATAATTAGAATTTGTAGCCGACCTCAAGGGTTTGCTTAGAACTGTCTGTATTTGCAATTATGAGGATCTAGGTAACTGTTTACCTTTGTTTGGGATGCTATGATTAGTGACTTCTATATTTATGCAGCCTCACACAGGAGCCATTTCAGTCAATACCACTTGTATGGATAATCCAAGAAGATACCCTTGCAAATCGTCTTCCATTGTATCAGGATATGAACTTGCAGCATTTGGTGTCTCATTGGAGAAGTACCTTTAACAGGGCTAATGTTGTTGTATTTCCAGACTTTGCTTTGCCAGTAAAAAATGCCACTTCTGTACTTAATTACATCTTATTTCTAGCCAGTCTTGTATAGAAAATCTAATGCTGTTTTTCAATTTACTTTCTTTTCTGTATCAGATGTTATATAGTGTGCTTGACACTGGAAACTTCTTTGTGATTCCCGGATCACCACTAGATGTGTGGGCTGCTGAAAGCTACAGTAAAACCCATGCTAAGCATCAGCTAAGGGTGGACCATGGATTCAGCGAAGATGACTTGGTGGTTCTAGTTGTCGGGAGTTCTTTCTTCTATGATGAGCTATCATGGGACTACACCGTGGCACTGCATACCCTAGGACCTGTACTAGCTGAATATGCAAGGAGCAAAGATGCTGAAGGATCGTTTAAATTTGTTTTCTTATGTGGTAATTCCACCGATGATGATGCTTTCCAGGTAGTCAACTTCTCATCTGCTATAGCTTATTATTTTTGTTGTGTTATCATGTTTTAAGCTCCTTGTATCTGTGGTACTTGATTATGCACTTTTATTTTTTAAGTGATGCTGTGAAAACTTGTATATTGGCACACATTTGAATAGGGTAGTCTCCTATTGTCCATTTGATTACTTGACCCCATAAGAATGGGGTTAACTAGATGAATGCCTAGGGTGATGCAATTCTGACCTCGAAGTTCTGAAGAAATTCCTGAAGTCAATAGTATTAATTTTATTCTCTGCTTGTAAAAGAATGCATGGAATTGTTTAAATAGGACCTTAAACTGACTCTTTCTAACCAGGAAACTCTAAACAGGAAAAATCTAAACCAAATAAAACTATCTACTAACTAGAAAAATTCAAATTAAAACTCTGTAACTTAACTAGGAAATTTGAATATAACTAGTAACAAGAAGTAAAGTTCAACAAGTTTCAACTGGACAATTATAGTTGATCAATTAGGATCAATTCTGGTTGATGTTCAATCATGATTGGTCAATTCTAGTTGTCGGTTGATCGATCATGGTCGACTAAGATTGATGGCTCGATTGTAGTCGATTACCAGGAGGAAAATTTGATGCTCTATCTAGTCCATAATTGAAGACACCAAACATTCCATGTCACAGGGAAATATAAACTTGAATTAACCTTGATATTTCATCAAGCTTTACATTTGTGTCTTTTTTTGTGCATTGCTATCAAAGTATTGTCGATGTATTAAGTTGAATACTCCATGCAACTCAATTGAATTTCTTGTTTGGCACTTCTCTTCTGTGGTTCCATCTATTTCGTGTGGTTACTACTTCAAAATAGAATTTATGGAAGTATATGCCCTTTCTGCCTAATAATCGGAACATACCAGTTAATAGTTCTTGATTTATTGTATCTTCTCAATGGAGATGCTGCAGTTTCTTTTGGGAAGAAACCACAGAGAGATAGAACATACCAGTTAATCTCTCAATGGAGATGCTGCTGTTTCTTTTGGGAAGAAACCACAGAGAGATGGGTGATGCTTGTTTTTCAAATTAATATCATGCCCTGTTCAATTTTATGCTTTGGTTAACCAAGGTTTTTTTCTTCCTTTTTGTGTAGGAAATTGTTTCTCGTGTGGGACTTCATCCTAGCTCTGTGCGGCATTATGGCCTGAATGGTGATGCCAACAGCGTGTTATTAGTGGCAGATATTGTTCTTTATGGTTCTTCCCAAGATGAACAGGGTTTTCCTCCGGTGCTCATCCGAGCCATGACCTTTGGAATCCCAATCATCGCACCTGATATTCCAACCATGACAAAATATGTGAGTATATTCAAGTTTATGTGGGCTTGATTCCTTTGGTAGATTATGGGGAGACACCTGTCTCTTTTTTGTTTTTTTCCCCTTTACTTCTCATTTGAAGAGATTGACATAGATTTTTTAAAATAACAGGTTAGTGATGAAGCCCATGGGATATTTTTCTCAAAATATAACCCTGAAGCATTGACGAGGGCTTTCTCTCTTTTGATATCGAATGGGAAACTTTCTAAATTTGCTGAAACAGTTGCTTTCTCTGGAAGAATGTTTGCTAAGAACATGCTTGCATCAGAATGTATAACAGGTTATGCAAGGCTTTTGGAGAATATGCTTAGTTTTCCATCAGATACCTTGTTGCCTGTCCCTGTGTCTAAGCTTGAACAGAGGGAATGGGAATGGAACTTGTTTAGCAAGAAACTAGAACAGGAAACTGATGATTTGTCAGTCATGTATGAGAGCCTTTTTTCTTCCAGAGAAAACAGTATTGTTTATTCCCTTGAGAAAGAATGGAGCAATCTTGTTAATTCAACTATCATCTCTGAGAATGGAACTGAAATTCTAGTACCAGATACCCCGACAGAATCAGACTGGGATGTTTTGATGGAAATAGAGAGATTTGAAGAACATGAGAGGGTGGTAAAAGAGGAGGTCTGTTATTCCTCTCGTTACTCCAGTTGTCTTAATTATTTTTTCATCTTCATGTCTGTGCAATTTTCTTGACAAAAGACAGCTGAAATGGGGAATTATTTCCTGTGTAGCTTGAAGAAAGAATGGATAAAAGTCATGGTCTGTGGGATGATATATATCGTAGTGCTCGAAAATCTGAAAAGCTCAAGTTTGAAAGCAATGAAAGGGATGAAGGAGAGCTAGAAAGGACAGGCCAGCCAGTATGCATTTATGAGATATATGATGGAGCTGGGGCCTGGCCACTTTTGCACCATGGATCTTTATACCGTGGCTTGAGTCTTGTAAATTTCTTGCAACCATGTTTGGAACTTATATTTTTTGTTTTCAGAAAATTATCACATCTTCCTTTTAGTACTTGCACACATTTCTTATTTGTTTTGGTTGCTTTTTGGGACATTCGCATCCCTTTCTTTTTCATTCTTTTTATTAAACCTGCATGTATACACTAATTTCTGGATATAATTGGTAGAGTATATGAGATTTTTGCAGCTGGGCTTGTTTCTTGCTTTCTTGAAATAACATATGATTAGATACAGTAACAGAATTGCACGTTGCTTGTGCAATTAACCCATAATTTTTATTGTTTTTGGTTTTATAACTTTCAACTATTGGTTCTTTATAGAGATTTAAGTTGTATGTTGCTTTGTTTGGAGGTGCTGTAATTGTCCAAGTGCTTTATTCCATTGTAAAGAAACCTTATAATTGGCTAGGGAATTTTTTTAAGTCATTCTCCTGTATGACCAGTCATGCTTTAAGTAGTTTTGTTTTTCTTAATCATTCTACATTTATGTCTTTTAGTCTACAAAAGCACGGAGGTCAAGATCAGATGACGTGGATGCAGTTGCCCGGCTTCCCCTCCTGAACGAAAGCTACTATCAGAATATATTATGCGAAATAGGAGGAATGTTTTCTATTGCAATTAGGGTGGATGCCATTCACAAGAGACCTTGGATTGGGTTTCAATCATGGCATGCTGCTGGTAGGAAGGTATCTTTTATGCCAGTGGGATTATAGTTTAAATTTTTGAAATTGCTGGATTATACAAGTCAAACTTAAGGTCATTAATTTTCGAAGTTGCAGTCAGCTTCTTGGTAAAATTTATGTAGAGTTTGATATTCACACACGCCAGTCAGCTCGTTCTGGCGAAAATGGTCTTAATTTTCCAAATTGCAGGATTATTTAAGTCAAATTTAAGGTCATTAATTTTCTAATTTGCAGTCAGCTTCTTCGAAAAATTGATGTAGGATTTGATACACACACACACACACACCAGTCAGCTTGTTCTGGACTGACACACACACACCAGTCAGCTTGTTCTGGAGAAACTGGTCTTCTCTGTTTTTAAAAAATGTTTTTTCAGGATTGCAATTATTGCCTGCCTTTATTCATGTTTCAGGTTTCATTATCATCTAAAGCTGAAAAAGTTCTAGAAGAAAAGACACAAGAAGAAAATAAAGATGTAATGTACTTCTGGGCTCGCTTGGGCATGGATGGTGGAGTTACTGGAAGCAATGAGGAACTCACTTTCTGGTCCATGTGCGACGTCTTAAATGGAGGACGCTGCAGGTATCTTGCTTCAAATAGTGGGTGCAAATTCTCAGGTCACGTTGCACTATGTTTTAATTAATGTCAGAGACTGTCCATCCATTCTGTGGTATCTGTGGGTCCCTCACCACACATACCTTACATTTCAGTTTTTTTTTTCCCCATTATTCTGTCTTTGCATCACCAAAAGTCGTTCAGTTTTTTTTATTTATTTTTTTCATTATTCTGTCTTTGCATCACCAAAAGTCTTTCATTTTCTAACCAAAATCACGGGAAAACTGTTTTCGAGTGCCACCAGTACATTTGCTTATAAACTATTGCTGAAATCATTTGTGGAAAAGGCAGGCCTGACCATCTTCAGTTTAGCTATATGGGCCAAAAAGATGGGCAAAAGGCTAGTTGCACATGCCCTATTGTAATTGCACTTGCTTTGTAGATTATTATTTACCCAGATGTGATCTCCTGTTTTTTCAAAGCCAGATTTTAACTACCAGCTTTTGAATGCATGCAGAACTGCTTTTGAGGATGCCTTCCGCCAGATGTATGACTTGCCATCATATCTTGAAGCTCTTCCTCCAATGCCAGAAGATGGAGGTCACTGGTCTGCCCTGCATAGCTGGGTCATGCCAACCCCTTCCTTTCTGGAGTTCATTATGTTTTCACGGTAATTTACAAAGGATGCTATTTTTCACCCTAGCCAGTTAACTGTTACATTGATGAAATGTTTGTGTCAGAGGCACTAACTGTAGTTACAACTCCAACAATAGTTGATGTTTTGTAATGGAATTGCAGAATGTTTGTTGATTCTCTTGATGCTCTGCAATCCAACTCTAGCCAAGCGAACAAGTGTTTGTTGAGTTCCACTGAGCTCGAGGTAAGACACAAAAATACTATGCTGCCTGCTTTATATGTTGCAGAGAGATTATAGTACTATCTCATTCATGAATATGCCTATTTAACGATACACAGGAAAAGCATTGTTATTGTCGGATAATGGAAGTCCTTGTTAATGTTTGGGCTTATCATAGTGCACGAAGGATGGTTTACATTGATCCGCACACTGGTTCTGTAGAAGAGCAGCACCCAATTACGCAAAGAAAGGAAATTGCATGGAAAAAGTATTTTAACCTTACAGTATTGAAGAGTATGGACGAGGATCTTGCAGAGGCAGCGGATGATGGAGATCATCCAAGGGAGAGGTGGCTATGGCCACTAACAGGAGAAGTGCATTGGCAAGGGATTTATGAAAGGGAGAGGGAAGAAAGATACAGAATAAAAATGGACAAGAAGAGGAAAACAAGAGAGAAACTATTTGAAAGGTTGAAGGCTGGATACAGACAGAAACCACTTGGGGGATAAGAAGCTTGGAGGCTGAATATGCTCAACTCCCAAGTCCTAATCCGGCTGCTGAATGTACTTTTTCTCAACCTCAGAGACTGACAGGGATCTTGCGGATGGGATGAGAAAGGGTTTTTTTTTTTCCCTAACAGCTTCAACACAGATTTTGTTCATCTTTTCATTTTTACCACATACACACTTACGGAGTGAGGGGGAGAAGAAAACTAGCTTCCCTTAGATTGCAGCTCACGGTTCGGGGCATTTTTGCAACAAAACTCTTGACCGCTCAACTATATTCAGGCATTCGAGCAGTACCACGCTTCATTTGAAGTTCATCTCAACCATTCAAATTACATAGTCGAGGGACTAAACCACATATTCGTTTATCATTGTATATTCTTTTGTCAATGTAGAGGCAATTTTGTTGAAAAGATACACTTCCATCCTTCATTTCGATGCTTCGTAGGAACTGCAAATGACCAAATCTTTGATTAGCTTCATTCAATCCTTCATTTCGATGCTTAATAGGAACTGCAAATGACCAAATCTTTGATTGTACTGATACTTCTTAACCTGTGCTAAGCATTGCTAGAGACTAAACTGCGTCAATTTTTGGAGGAATAAAAAGTTACACTCCGGGTACAACCTGCCATGCGAAACGTTTATTAGCAGCAGCTTGGTTGAATAACCAAATGAAGAATGCCCCGTATATTGATCGGATAGTTTATCCTCTAGTCCTTCTAACCTATATTTTCAGTCGACTTTTAAGCTACCGTTTGGAATATTTTTACAAATTGATTTAAATTGTCGTTTTTGTTAAAAAAATCCATTTATTTGCATGGAAGTTATAAATATATTCCCATGAGTCTAAAAGAAAATATTTTTTATTTAAAGGATCCACAGTATATTAGAGTGTTTATAATCTATGAATTTTGTTTTTTTTTTAATGAAAAAAGAAATGAAAAGTAATTTTATATATTTAAATATATATTAAATTAATATGAAATATTAAAATAGATCTTAAAAAATTATCAATAGAGAGTCTCATAAAAGTTAGGCGTGGAGGGTGTGCCCTGAGTCCATGGGTGCTAGAACACATGTCCAAGTCCAGTAAATGACTCCTCAATGCATAATATTCTAATACAATTTCAAGTAATTACGTCTATGTATAATGCCCGGATTCAATTTTATTAGGGTATTGGGGCTCTCAACACTCTAATTAATTGGTTCAGGTATAACACTTCGACAAAGTAAGGGCGCGGGTGCGCCCATGTACTTGGATCTCCAATTGCAGGTTGGGAAGAAAGATTTGCAATTGCTGGGCTGTGTTCTTGATTCAAATTAACTTCGTTGTTGGGATATCAGGGAACCAAACAAGAGTGAAGAAAAAATTGATGTGAGATCTAGATGGTCAGACAGCTGGTTTCATGGTTTACAAATAGTTTTGGAATTTAACTATATAAAACCACCTCCAATCCTAGCTTTGTTATAAGAATTACAGCCATTAAAGTCATTCTATTTGTTACTCTATTCAAATTCAATAGCTACAATTGCACATCTGTATCATCAAAAATGCTCTAATGGCGGCCATTTTGGGCTTTCCCTTCCCCTTCAACGTTATTGCCCGAGCAAGAGTCATTATAGATTATAAAACTACTTGGCACAGCAGTGTATGCCCTGCATCTTGACCATAGCAATATCCAGATTTTATTTTAAAAAATAAAAACAAGTCAATACCTGGAAAAACGAAAAACAAAAAAAAATTGCTCCTGGTATCCAAATTTCCAGACCCAAAAATCACTATAAAACGTCTTATACCTTGCAATCTTGAGTTCGTCAACTCATTACAACAATGGCAGAAGTGAAGCTGCATGGTTTCCGGTCCAGCCCTTTCAGTTACAGAGTTATCTGGGCTCTGAAACTAAAAGGTGTACATAGAAGAAGATCTTCTTAACAAGAGTAAATACAATCCAATTTATAAAAAGATCCCAGTCCTTGTTCATGATGGCAAGCCGATTGCTGGGTCTCTTGTCATTCTACAATACATTGAAGAAACGTGGCCGGAGAATCCACAGCACCAGCACACCCGGATCTTTTGTTTTAAAAACCTATATATTTTAGTCTCCTTTTCTCTCCTTGAAAACTAAAACTCATGAGTTATAAATAAAAATATTACATTTTTATTTGCAGGGAAATAAATATGTTCTCATAAAAATATTTTTCAATTAAATGTTTAATACAACATGTAATTTTTTGATTTTTTTGATGCATTTTAATTGTAAGACTTATTTTTAATTTAACTTATTTTATCACGAGTTATTTTTAAAGTAATAAGTCAAAGTCAAAATCATTTTTTCATAATTGATGCCAAACAAAACCTTTTTTTTTTGCCACTCCATATTTTTCTTGAAAATTCTCAGCAAATTCGGACGACAACGATTGGGCCAAACAGGCCATATAGAGCTCCCCCCTCCTCCCATGAACTCTCATGGGTCTTTATAGATTTAACATTTTTTTTTTTAATTTTATTAACGCAGACCCGACCCAGTTCAGTAGATTATTTCATCTATGACCCTAAAAACATGAAATAATTACACAACCCTCCCGCTCTCACCTGGGACCAATGGTCGGACTTGTTAATGGTATTTTCCAGTCTCTCGACACTCTTGTGGTCTTTTTATTTTTCTTAGGGTTTAAAGGAGTCCAAAACCCAAAACCTAATCCCTGTTGTTTCTGCCTGTCTCTCCGAAATATCAGGTAATCTCACTCTCCTCTCCCTCTCCTTCCTAAACACTCCATATTTTGCCTCTATACTTCAATTCTGTTAATCACTTCTCGTCTCACTTTCTATGAAAATGTACTAGCTTTAGCTCAAAATGCAACCGAGTAATACTTGTTTTGATTTTTCTTTATGGGTGCGTTTTGAGTTATTCATTTTTGCTCTGTGTTTTTCTTTTTAAATGGGGTTTGTTTGGTTGTTAGATTTATGTTAAATGTTGGGGAATTGGCTTTGTGCTGTTTGGTTTCTGACAAAATTAAGGAGATTGAGCAAACAGTAGAGTGCAAATTTGTTGAATTTTGAGTATTTGGGCATTGAAATGTTAAATATGCTAGTTGAGAAAGGAACTGATGGTTCCTAGTTTGATGTTCCCACATGATACCGACCTCAAACTTTGCTTATGATTGGATGGGGTCATGGCTGTCTGATTATTTGATGAGTTTTGTCTATGAAAATCTATGTCTTTACCGTGAAATTCTTTGTCTTTGATGATTTGGCTGTGTAACATGTAGATTTATATGCTAAAGGGAGGTGGCTTTTTTCATCATGCATGCCATAAAGGGTGGCTGGGTTGGCCAAACATTTGCCTTAGCTAAGTCCATTGATTCTGGAGGGAAGAAGTCACGGATTCGGCGCTCAAAGGAGGAGAGGAAGGGAATGGTTGAGTCCTTTATAAAGAAGTAATATGATAATTCGCCTTCAATGAATTAATTCCTGCTGTAATAATTCATATGGTCTGAAGATGATTGATAAAATTATTGGATTCATCATTTTTTCCTGCCTTTGCAATTAATGCTACGGAATTTGCTTCTCTTGGATGTCTTTCACTAATACCGAAAGCTATGAGTGCTTGCTCAAGAAGCTCACACACCCACATGCTCATGCATGCACACATGAACACTTAATAAATCAGCTCAGAGACTGACTCTATGACATGGTAGATAAGTTCTGAGCTTGTTGCTCCTGAAAGTTGACCTGTAAGTTGACTTTTAGTAGGTACTAGGCTTATATTGTATGGTTTACATTAAATATTTCATACCGAGTGATAGCCATTCGCCTCGTGATGACACTATGATGACCTAGTATAAAATAGAAAAATCATGTTGGTTATATCAACCCTTTAATAATGATCTTCTTTTTATTTCTCGATGCAACGTTTTTGAAGAAGTAGGCTTTGGCATCCATTCATTTGGTAGACTTGCTTTCAGGTACCAGAGTTTAAACAATGGGAATTTTCCATCTCTTAATCTCACACACAAGGAAGTTGGTGGGTCCTTTTACACTGTTCGGGAGATTGTTCGGGAGATAATCCAAGAAAATAGAGTTCTTGGCCCTGGCAAGTTGCCAATGGAGGAGCAGTACAATGATCTGTTTGTGGAGCAGTACCCGTTGGGTACAATTTCAACAGAACCTCAAACTTCTCTGTCCATATCTCCAAATGGAAGTCCTGAACATGATCAGCATGAGAGCTCAGGTGAAGCGCTGGATTTAATTTCTGAGCAACATGCTGAACCTGAACAGCAGGGATTCAATGATCAGAAAATCATTAACGGGAGTCATGTAATTGTAAAGAATGAAGAAGCTGATAAACCAAAAGTTGTGGAGGTTCAAGTTACCGAACCTCTGGAAACAGAGAAGAGAATGGAAGAAGTGGCAGCATCTAGGGCTAAAGTAACTCAAATGGCTGATGTAATGGTAGAGACATTCCCATTGCCACGTGCTACCAAATCAGCTGGAAACTTGAATGGAAATTCCAGTAATGTAAGGGAGATAAATGGGATTTTAGAAGAGAAAGATGTTGAGAAGGTGCTCTTGGAGCCAGAACAGGACCCAGAAAATAAATCAGCTGGAAACTTGAATGGAAATTCCAGTAATGTAAGGGAGGTAACTGGGATTTTAGAAGAGAAAGATGTTGACAAGGTGCTCTTGGAGCCGGAACAGGACCCAGAAAATGGCATTTCTTTGCCAGACGGAATGAGTTCCTTGCATAATAGCAGTTTGGTAGATGACAATGAAGTTTCCTTCCATGATAGCAGTTTGGTAGATGACAAAGAAGTGGAAAAGCCAGCAGTTCCATTGTTGGAACGAAGCTCAGATTTGGCATCTGAGAAAGCAGTGGAAAACCTTGCAGTATTGGCAATGGGAAGCTCAAACGCATCTGTCACCGACAAAGGCATTGTGCAGGATGCTGAGGCAGACATAGATGTGAAGGTGAAGTCATCATATGATGAGAAGGCAATTGCTGAAACTAAGGTGAGTTTTCGTAAATACTATGTATAATTATGTGGGAACTTTCTTTTGGAGGTGCGCGCTGCAAAAATCACAAATTCTTTAGTCGCCCATCTTTGATTTTATATACCTTTCTTTACTTTTCCTTGGTTTTCGTTCTCAAAATTCTTGCAACTTGCATGGCGTGGTTAGCTGTTGAAAAGGCATTTGCAATTTAGCTTTCTTTAACTGCTTTCTATTATTTCTTGTGTTCTGGTGCTTTAATTTTATTCAAAGTTTTTGGTTTAACACAAGAAGCAGCGATATATTTATGTTCGTGTAAAAGTCAATTCGCTTAATATGCATGATGATATCACTTGTTGGGGTCTAGAACAAATTTTTACTTGGACAAGTGCATGGTAAACAGACAGTGTAGCAACTATAAGCAAAATCATTTTTCCATCTGAAAACTTGAGAGAGAATTTAAGCATACTGCTGGCTTTTTTTGTCCAGGTTATTGACGCTCAAAATGGCTTCCAAGCAAAATCTTCAACTGTTGGTAGCAGCCAGTCAATAGCCAAGGAGGTTGAGATGAAAGATGAAGCTTCCTTTCAACATAGTCAGGACTCGCAGAAACAAAGCAGTCCAACATTAAACAGAATTAATCTGTAAGTACAAGTAGCGACCATCTCTCTAAACTCATTGCTTTGATTTATCTTTCTCTCTAATTCTTGTACTCTTGAACAAGAGTATTTCTAGATGTTGGTAAACTGATTAGTCTTTTTCCTTGTTTCCATGAGCAGGGAATCGTGGGGAGGGGCATCTAAGAATCGACCAGAACCAGAAACCAACCCGCTTTTGGCCATTTTTAAATCATTCCTAGCTGCCTTAGTGAAATTTTGGTCAGAATAAGTCCTTTTGTAGTGTAATGATATTGTCTAAAGCTTTTGCAGAGTGTGGATTTATACTTTACCTGCCATTGCAAGGCATCAAGTTTCGCCGTCTATATCAAGAGTGGTGGTTATTACTTGTTTGCATACATTTATAACCTTTTCCTCTCACCCTCCTTGCTAAACCATGATGATCTTAAAAGCTTGTTCCTATAGTTAGCATCCCATTTATGGGAACTCCCGCTGAGCTTTTATGGGAACTGTGGTGGTTGAAAATTTCGTTGATAAAAACAATAGGAAATCCCACTGAGATCCAATTCATTGTATTTGTTATGGTGCAAACTACTTGGCTGTAAGATCATGCAGTTGAATTATAATTTTTTGCCCTTCATTCACCCTGTTTTTTTTTTTTAATTTGTTTTTTTTCTTTTCATAGATGAATTTCCAAATGCCTTCTATGGTCTCCTACTTTGAGCTATGCAATAATAATACAAAGAAATCCAACTGAATTATCAATTAACGAGGAAAATATAAAAGAATAATTCTACCTAGTTATCCATGTATCAATTAAACTGCAAGATAGAGGGTCATCATGTGTCTAATAAAACCTTCTATTTGTAACCTAAAAGCCATCTTTCCCATGACAAACGCACGCTAAATATACATATAAGAAAATACTAAACACAAAACCGTGATTAAGGATTTAAGAGTGAACTTGGTGGTGCTGCTAAGGAATATAACTATATATATATATTAGAAAGTGATTCGAAATTCGAAATTTCTTTTTAAAAAAGAGATTTTATTATTAATTAAGCTATAACTTATCAACAAAGTATTACCATGCTATGCACATTGCATAGTTATCTAGAATTTACAAGTAGATTGATTAACTGAAGGGATTGATAGCATTAAGCATTAATGTCAGATTTTTGATTTTTTGACCTTTAATATCTCAATTATAATCTATAAACATATACTTTTAATTTTTAATATAAAAAAGCATACTATAATTTTCACTTATAGTTACTGATTATATATATAAGCACACACTCTTTTATCTTTAATAAACTTTTAAAGGATTATTTTACCTTTAATGCAATATTAATATTATAAAATACCACCTATGATTAAGAAAAACTAAGTTTAAGAGTTTTATTGACTTTCTAAAAAATTGGTTAATCTTGTTTTCCGTTATTTTCCTATTATACTCCATTTAACCCTAAAAAACACAGAATAAATTTTTTAAATTACCCATAATTTATATAAGATCTTGATAACACTTTATTTTGATCATCAAAACTCTAAAAATGTTGTAAGATCACTCAATAATATAGTACCAAATATTTATTATTTAGATCAACAATCCATTAAAAATCTCAGACCCATCAAAGGACGTGGAACATGAACGTGTAATTACAATCATAACGCATCGATCCATGCCAGTTCTAGAACAACAAAGATAAAAATCAAAGGAGAGACAAGATTAAAGAAAAGAAAAGTGGGACATATATGTATCATCATGTCACGTTTATAGCAGCAAGAATCACTGATAATTTAATCGACCACCCCAGAGGCGAAACCAACCTTCTTGCTTGACCTAAAAAACAAGTCCACCTCTTCACGGTTCATAACCTCAAAAAAGTGCAGATTTGACTGTTTCCTCTTCCATGAATCCGGACTTCTTGGTGGTTTCTTTGGTGCTGGTGGACAGGTTAACAAGGCGGGAATCTTGAGTTGAGCTGATGTTGGAGTGCAGCACTCATGCTCACAGTCATCATCTCCACCATCATCATTACGAGTCGTCTTTATCACTTTCAATCCAAGTTTTGGCAAGCTTTGGAAGAGTTCTTGATCGCTAGACATGGTTGTTAATTTGACAGGAGGGAGTGGAGGGTTATTACATGGAAATGGAGGGAATTAATCAATAAGAGGAGGTGTGCATTATAACAGGATAGTGAGAGAGAATTAAGAGAGGTTGGTGGTTGCGTGTTTCTATTTTTGCCTGTCTTTTTTCGGTATAAGACAATGAAAGATATGCTCTCGTATTAGAATTTATTAACTTGGATTTTTGTGCACAAAATTTTCTAAAGCATTCGAGGAGTTGTGTAATTAGGATATGGTAGTCACACGTTGCGCTTTTTTTTTTTTTTTTTAATGTCTCATGACACGTAAATATATATGAATCGGAACAGATAAAAATAGAGAAATAAAATAAATTTATTTTTATAATAGTTTAAAATTATATTTTTAACATTTTAAAATAGAAAATAGGAAATGTATTTCTTTTAGTTTTTTTATCTTATCTACTTCGAAATAGTAATAAAATATTATTATTATTATTATATAGCTTGAGAATTAATTTTATTAGCAACCTTGTCCTGAACATTGCAAAATATTTTTATTGGACCGTTTTATTTTCCAAACTTTTAACGTATATTACTGTATCTTATTTGTTTTCCCTTAATGGTAAGGTAATTCTCGGAACTCATCAAGATTAATTCAGTTTCTTCCCGAAGAGGTCGAGCGTGAAGATAACCATTCACACTCGTTTTATTTTTTTACTTCCTCAAAGCTTCCTTCTAATTAAATCTTGGATTATAACATATAAAACATATTGCCTACCATATATAATTTTTTTTTGTTTGGTGAGGTTGTGTATGATTTGGCTTAAACTCCAGTGCTGCCATAGTATTCAGTATTACGTTATATATATATTTGGATGCTATCTGCGGATGAACAATAATTTTTAATTAAAAGTCAAACCAATAAGGAGAATTTATGAACTCAAAATTCTTAATGGATCGCACATTTACAAATATGGATTGAAATATGCAAGTGATGGGATTAAAATGAGTAATATCTTATTTTTTTAGTTGACTCTTTACTATTTAACTATTATATATGCTATTAGCTCACTTGCTAGATGATTAAGGATATTATCTAGATAATTTATGTGTTAATTAAGAATATATATATTTTTTAGATAATTTTAAAAGTGCCTAAATTATGCTAGATATTAACTTTGGGGTTAGAGTTCAAAAGGTTAATAGAGAGACAAAACCTCTTTTTAACCACTACACAAATTATTACAAAACCTCTTTTTAACCACTAAACTAATTATTCCTAAGGTTAAATGAAAGAAATTAATCTCATAGATGTGTTAATTTCTTCATTGACACAAATCATGAAGGGCCAATAATTTTAAGCTCAACTCATCATTGGAAAATATTTTATATTTTCATCAAAAAAAATCACCCCTCTTTTTATTGATTTAGTCCAATGAAGTCCTGTACTTTAGATTTCAATCAATTAAGTATAATTTGTCAATTAAGTAATCTTTTTTTACTATTTGAATCATCATCATCATCAACATTCCTTTCCTTTCTGTTTAATACCATCATTCACCTCAGCCATCCACACCCTCTTCTTTTTTTTAACAATATCCCCTTTTTCGATTTAGTAAATTGTACTCAATTAAATGAAATAAAAAAAATTACAGAAGCTAAGTTGATCAAAGTAATATCAGAGATTTGTTTTTAATAAATTGATGAAAACAAAAGATAGAATACGAAATAATGAATTTCACCATAATTTTACAATGAGAACTAATTAGCTCGGGCTTGTTAAACCTCCATTGCATGCATATGGTGAGCATATATATATATATTATTGATGCAAACCAGAACTTGACCGTATGCACGTTCTGAATGAGTCGAGAACAAATTTTCTGACGTTTCAATGCCTTTGTTGACAGATTTTCTGATGCTGTGGTCCTTTCTTTACTATATTTCGGACCTTTCCTTGCATCACAAAATTGAATACCCACTACCCACCTTGATTAAGTCCTTAATTATGACTATATATCCACCAGCTCTTATATTAAATATAGAGAGAGATTACAGGTATTTCTTATTGTATAATAATAATTTTCTGTGTACTTATTTTAGTAGGTCAACAGACACTGTATAAATTTCATGTCCATTTACTCTGAAGCTAAATGCTTCACGTCCTATCCCACCAAATAAATATTTAAACACTTCATGAACTAAACAAAAGCTTTTACTTCCATTTCCCTGACAAGGCCTGTCAAAATTATTTTTGTTTTCTTTACGCACGTTACTGCCAATTGATTTTTATTTACTGTAGACTGTCCTTTCATTTCAAAATTAATTTTGACGAAGCGAGAAAATGTTGGTTGTTGTGGGCATCATTGCTGAACCCCGTTTAAAATCTAACTCAAGCTTGTTGAAAAACAAAATGAGAGTTAATCTAATTTAAAAAAATGAAATTATTTTGATTGATTTCTATTAAATTACTTAATCTATAACTGGGTTTAAACTAGATTTAATAACTTTGATTTAATTTTGAATAAAATTAATAGAGTTTATAATATCACCACCTATTTCTTTTCAAACATTAATCAAGGTGTTGTTGAATAATTAACTTTTCCTCACTAAGAATACATATGCCTGTGTTAGAGTTTGAGATAATTAATTAAATTTGGACTATATATTGTATTCATCAAAAAAATAAAATCCTGGCAACTTCAAGTAAATTTAACCCAACTCCGTATCACTTGAGTCAATGCCTCAAGAGTTAAATCATATTCATGGCAAACGTTTTCACCCAGCTACCAATTTTATTGTTTTTAATGGCCATGTCTCCACAGAAAGAAAGAAGAAATATATAGAAAATAGTAAGAACTTGATTTAGAGTTGAGTATCTTCATGCCACAGTTGGGACCTCGCTGTTGTTTACTTGAGACTTACAGGAAGTTTGAAAGATAAATACCAATCCATGAATGGTCAGTGTTTTACAGTCATATTTAAGGTCTTAATTATTAGATAGATTCAATCAATATCTTTTATTTTTAGTTAATAAATTCTCTCATCTTCTCAACAACTTGAACGGAGGAGTGGGATCTTCCTTTACTGCTGTTAATTTGAGCGTCTCTACTAAATTAATTGTTAAGGACTTCCTTTATCTCCTTTTAATTTGTGGGCTGGAAAATAGTAATCGAGGCTTACTTTTGATAATTTTAGACCAAATTCATTTATTTATATGGGTAATTCTCTTCAGAAAAGAAGAAGAAGAAGAAGAAGATTCAAGAGCCTCCCTTCTCTTGTTCAAATTAATTTGGGAACCGTATATTTTGTCCCTAAACAAAAATGCGGTAAAAAATATTTTTTTTTCTTTTTTTTAGAAAATCCAATCAATAAGATGCTTAATTAGGACCATGTGAAAACCATAGCAAGATTGGACTTGGACAGATGGAGTATGACCCATTAATTTCAAGTGTGCAAGCAAATCAACACAACTACACAATTGCAATATTATCGTTTAATTGCCTAAGTTTTTTTCTACTTGCAATCATATTGGTATCCTACTGTTAATCACATCTTTCAACGCTCACTGGTGATGATAATTAACGAGTTTGCTTCTCACGTGAACTATAACATAGTTATAATTAAATCTAATATGATTTGATATTCGGTTCACCTGTTGTGTGTTGTGTAGATTAGTTCGAGTTATTTATTTTCTAAAAAAATAATTAAATGAGTGATTTTATGTTGACCCATCAAATCAATTAAATTTAATTATAATGGATATTTTTAAGATTTGATTTAGACTAACCTTATTTGTTTTTACATTTTAAAAGTATTTTTAAAAAATTTAAAAATGTTTTATTTTTTATTTAAACTAATATTTTTTTATATTTTTAGATTATTTTAATGCGTTAATATCAAAAATAATTTTTAAAAAATAAAAAAATATTATTTTAATATATTTTTAAATAAAAAACATTTCAAAAAAAATAATTATAACTACGTTTAATACAAACAAAGAGAAGATTAGACTCTTGGGGCTGGCCCGAGAAGAGTAATATAGAGCTTGAATAGTACAACAAAGAAGATAATTTATTACTGCTTTAGTCTGAGCATGCTTGAATAGCATGTTTAAAGTTAATTCAACGGATAAACAAATAGTTTTGGAGTATGAATGTTATTCCAAAAGCATTCCAATCTGACACTTAAAAATAAAATAGTATATTAATCATTGTCACAGTTTTTTTTTATATATAAATATATTAATTACCATCTTATTATAGCAGAAATGGGCAATATATAGTGGTTAAAAATAAATCACCTATGCCTTCTAATGCAGTCAGAAAATTATCATGAACTGCTGATCCCTCCCTCCTCTGCATGCTTCTTTCTTCACTGACTTCTTTGTTTCCTCTATAAGGAGTTAAAAATGAGGCATATATAATTAAGAGAAGGCTTATTAAGAACTCTTCTTCAAAGGGGGACATTAAAAAATTATAAAAAAGACAAAGAAAAGTAAGAAAAGGTTAAAATTCTCAAGCAACATTTGACACAAGGAATAAAGTGCGGTTATTAACTGATTAGCAAAGATCTGGAATGTTTCTCTTTGGTTTCCTCACTGTAACTTGCAAGAATTGGACCTCCTATTCATTGACCTAGGGTTTGCTCAATCATGGTAAAATCATTGCACGTTTATCGATAACCATCAAGGAGTGGTGGAATATTTATACGGGAAACAACTCAAATCCTACGTATTTATTAACATAAATCCACATGAAGCCAGCGTTCGAAAGGTGGGTGGATCATTGAATAAATATATCTAGAGGGTCAATAAATAGCTGAAGATTCAATAAAAGATATAGTTAAATTCAATATCGGATTTGTTTTAGTATTTTTTTTCTCAGAGTAAAATATAGATGAAGAAAGAATGCATGTACGCCATGTGAGATAATTTTTTTAAATACTAACCATATGGTTATATATTATAATAACCCAATTTGAAGAAAAATAAAACATTTATAATTATGATAAATATTG